AGTGAGGCTTTCAATGTAAGTAACTATTTTATACACACACCGAAATTGTAATTTATTCGGACCGATTTTAATTTTCTACAGACATCTGATCCCTTCAACCGCTATTTCAGTGATCCTGGAGTTTAGTGTAGCCCCTAGTAATGCTAAAGGGTTGACTATATATTTAAGTTCCTTTTCATAAATTAAAAATATTCTCAAAAACTAAACAAGTTTAATAGGAATAGATTAATTCTTCTCACTCAATACCATAAATGTAACTATGAGTAGAAGGTATGATTTAATTATGGTCGAATTAGATACCGCGCATCGAGTGAATTGTCAAAAAAGTCAAGATCTCCTCCAAACTGCCAACAAATTTGAGCGATTGAGTTCTAAAGGTGCGTTTATTTTAAATTGACTAATGAATTTCTTAGAAGTTTCGGTCACTTATCGTAAGAACAATGTCAATTGTAAACTGATAAGCCATACTTCAGTTCAATTTCAGCTTTTATCGTTCGCACATATCATCACCACTAATCAATAAATAATACATCTTCAATAACTTGATCGCCTGATTACACGTGTATCAGCCTGCAAATCTCCTGAAACCTCCACTTTGCTTAATAAAATCATTTAGCTTCGCAAACGTTCTGCAATTTTGGAGGGCAAGAAGGAGACCTGCATCCGATTTCCTCAAGGTCATGAAGCACTTCGAGACAAACTAGTCTGTGTTTTGTTGCCATGGTTAAATGGATTTCGTACTCTTTTTTTTTAAAGAAGCTGAAAAATAAGAAGAAAAAAGGCTGCCATGGGTAGACTCCGAAAATTTTTTTTTCACATCTGAATATCATCCTAGTTCCGATGACATTTAGGCGAATCGCCCGAATTTCATGCCCTTTCGCTAAAAAAGCTTTCATGTTTCAACCCAAAATGTGATAAATTTGCCCAGAAGGCGCTTGGAAAAACTCTAGTACACTTCGAAAGAAATTTGGCAAGTCTAACGCGATCTATATTTATCAATTAATATCGATTTATCTTATGGTTTAAATCACGAAGCTATTGCTGCTGCTTGTTGACCATTGCTCACCGAAGTGCGTTTGGTATTGCAGATGGCCAGTCACACCCCTTAACATCGACTCTTCCGAAATGCTCTCTCTCTCTCTACCTGAGTCAACTGATTGTTTTTCTTTTCTGTTAGAAAGATTATTTTATTCAATCTTGATGTAGCCAAGTGTTCAGTGGCTGGCTTCATAGCAAACTTCATTCGGCGACTCTAGGAGGTTTTACTACGTCCCCTTCCCCCCCCCCCCCCCCCCCCCCCCCCCCCCACCCCACCCCACCCTCCGACGTAGACCTCGGTTGTCTTAGTTATTGGACTTGATAAAAAGACGCGAAGATCTTATCTATTTAAGACGTTTTCCCGTCACAGGGTCTTTAGGGTCTCCTCATAATGTCACAATAAGAGACAACATATGAGGTGTTTTGTAGTCAAAAGTGAGATGGTTTCATCCACCTTCTGGTATTTTATTCGAGGCATATGTGAGGAATATGCGGAGTCTTAAATAAGTGCCCTATGATTATGAAACTCTAACTCAATTGAAATAGTTGATCCTAATATTTAAAGGCGGTGTATTGAGCTATTGTTTCAAATCCAAATCACTAAGGCACCTGTGTTCAAGTCTTGGTGACACATGTGCAATCGGAGTGCTCCAAGAACTTCAAATAGACACTGGTCGTTATTTCAAGAAGAAGAAGAAGAAGATGAAGGGACAACAACTTTCTTTGTTCTGGCTCCAATTTTGGCAATACGCTTAACCTTTTAGGGAGAAAGGACTTGGCAGTAACCCTGTGCACAATGCATCATGGACGACGCTTCTCACAGCATTAGAGGGGGTGGAGAAGCCTACTGTGGTGGTACACAGTGGCTTTTTTTCTTTGCTTTGCATTTCAAAAATGTGATTCATTCGTCATTAGTAGCAGCTGACTCAGCGGTACCACATTTGGCCTTGACTGCTATGTGTTATTTTATACTTTTTTGTTTCACTCCTCGCAAACTCTAATTATCTCTTCTCCTAGTGTTCCTCCTCCTCCTCCTCTTGGCATCTGCTTCGCTACATTTCGTGATGGTCCCATTCACTTTATATTAACAAAGCGTATTAGCGACTAATCCACGCATAAATCGTGAGCGTTTACCAGTTAGGCTCAGTTCCGAAGTAGTGGGTATATGGTATGGCAACTTATGATCCCTGTAGTGATATACTATTAAGTCCCTAAAGGAGGCTTGAAAACTTCCCAAACTCTTTAGGGAGAATAGTTGAGGGTGTCACCATTCTAAGTACTCATCCTGGGTTAATGGTTAACACTAAGAGCCACCTTGGTATGATAGTCAATTTCTAATAACGATTAATTAGTCAGATTTACCCACAACCGTCATTCTTCAACGTGAACCAAGATTTCCGAATGCCCAATTCTTCAAATTTCTATCTTGGTGTCTTCCATCTCATTTGAACTGAATTGTCACTTTAAGAAAACCACCTTCTCTGCAGAGGTAGCTTCTATCTTCCAATTTGAACTGGTTGGCCGCGAAATCGTGGTTTGTTTACCCGAGAGACTGGATACCTTTCCGAATTCTTTATCTTTTATATTTTACAAATACATCATCAATGTTTTACTGTATTCTGAGTTGCCTTCATATTACACTTTGTTCGTTTCTTGTCTAATCGGTTATGCAACTGCTTACGAATTGATGATCCATTTTCTTCATTTAATCAACTCTCTGTGATATACTTCACCAATTTGAAAAGAAATATTATTCAAAATAACTGCAACGCAAAGGAAATTCTAGACATTCCCCCCAACAAAAAGCAAGCAGGCAAGCATATTATCGTCTTGCTGACAAATGAGCACTTTTTGACCGTGTCTTGGTGGCAATTTCTTGGCTATTTCTTTGATGGAGCGTGATTTTCCACAAGGAAGCAGAAAAAAGCACGCCGTTCTTTCGAGGAGGATTAAAGAATAAGAGGTAGAGGGAGGTGTGTGTGTGGAGGGAGGCGGAGGCAAATTGAATGGAAAGTGCTATCTTCTTTTCCGATTTTAATTATACTGATATAAGGCTGGATAATGAAAGAAAAATCAATAGCATTTGTAGCCATCCAAAGAACAGGAACCAATAAGGAGAGGGAGAAATAGGAGCTAACAGAGGGACAGAGAGAGAGAGAGACAGAGAGAGAGAAGTTGGGGGGAAAAACTCGTAGTTTTCCGTTTTTCTATCCTTCTCTCTCCCTCTCTCTCTCTCTCCCTCCCTCTTTCCTACACCTTCTTTTCTCTCGTCCTTCTAACGTATGTTTGCGGAAATGGCGGTATCCACCTATTCAATCGACTCCGTTTTTTAGGAACTCCTCTCTGTTCCCCTCACCGCCACCCCCACCCCCAAACCCCACACCATTGTGTCCTAGCCCCCCCCCCTCCCCCCCCAACTCTCCTCACGTTTCTGAAGTGGAATTGGTGGAAGTATTGGCAGTGGTAATGGTAACGCAGAAAAAAGTAGGAGTTAAATGGATTTTTTTCTCTCTCCACGCACTACTTCTTCCTCATGGTTGGTACAAACGACTACTTTTTTTTGCCTGCTTATAAACAATAGTCAATAGAAATGAGGAGAAGAGAGTTGGATAGGGAATGAAAGAGAGGGCGAGAGGGCTAGAGAGGGAGAGAGAGATGCCTACAATCGACTTGGCAGATGGGCTTTCTTCCTCGCCGAACTCCGGCTCTTTTGTTGGCGCGCACAGATGCTAGATGAAGTGTGATATGCCTCCTTCCCACCTCCCTCCTTTGCTAATCACTGCGTTATCCATGCTAATATCATTTGGCTTGTGAGTAGTGAATTGTACGGCTAACTATGACGCCATGATGAAAAGCTAATAGATTCCTAGGAGTTGTGGAGAGATTCGGGCTTCCACAAACATAGAAAATCACGAACCTGGCATTTGTCTCAGCCGATCAACTAATTTTCATCTCAATTTCTCTTTTGGGTGTTATATCTATTTTGAAGGGGGGGGGGGCAATTCGATTTGAACCCGAATGATACATGACCATCCTGTGAATAATTTCTACGGAAAAGGTCTTCGGCATATTCCAAACTTGTTATTTAATCTAGTATGCTAATTATTGTTATAATTTTATTTTGTCTATTATTCTCTGTGACAGCTTTCTATTGAAATGACAAAATAATCCCACCGAAAAATGAAAGGCGGGAGATCAAGAAATCGGATCCAGGTAGCATTGGTATAAGGTGGCTATACAGCATTTCGAAGCCTTTACTATTCCAGATCTGGATTGTGCGATAGACTAACTTCCACGTGGTGCACTCTGAACAACATATACCCATACAGCAAAAGAGTCTATTAATCGGCAGCTGACTTCTAACTTCAAAATACCATGACCTGATCGTATGTCATAATCTAATACTTCCACACTACTCATCTTACCTATCTATACCTTTGTATCTGTCTGCCTCTTTCACATCTGTGAATCACTCTTCTGTCCCCCATTCTCGAATTTTTCTCACTTTGATGCTCTTCCCCTCTGTGAAGCCCGAAGTCAGCTAAAGGGCTAATTATAACTATCAAAACGCCTGCCATTTGAAATAAATAAATAATTTCTGATATGAATCTACATGTTTTTTTGACATTTTGAGCAACTAAATAGTGTTTCATTTACCCTAATTTTCCACTTCCATCTACTTAAAATTTTAGCTGGTGAGATCAGCAGAGGTAGTTTTGCACAGGAGTGTTTACTAAAATATTTTACAATTTTTTTTGTTAAATTTTTCTTTTTACACGTATTGCAGTATCTTGCTTCGCTTCGAGTAAATATGCAAATGTAACAATAGGTGCCATCTAAGATCGTCATGACTTACGTCACAATTTCAAATTGCTCTCCCCCACCGCCACACACACACACACAAGTAGATTCGAAAACAAAACACTAATTGACCTCAGCGGAATAAGTAAATAATTGCTAGATTAATTCCTCCAATTTTTAGTTAAATCAGCTGACCAGTCCTGGAAATTTCTAACTGCTGTGCCAGGCATGCTGAGATCTAAAGGAACAGGGCAATTTTCCTCCGCACTTAATTTTCCTATTTTTGCTTCTTTCAATTAGTGCTTCGCCACTTTCTATTACAGTAAATAACCCTCCTCCCCCCCCC